CTTCAGATCAGTGCAGCTCTGGCCATTGCAACAATTGGGGAGTGAACAATCAGATGGAAGACCTCTCTCTCTCTGCCTCTCCTTCTCTCTCTGTGTTAACTCTTTCTAATAAATAAATAAATCTTTATGGCCGGCGCCGTGGCTCAGTAGGCTAATCCTCCGCCTAGCGGCACCGGCACACCGGGTTCTAGTCCCGGTTGGGGCGCCGGATTCTGTCCCGGTTGCCCCTCTTCCAGGCCAGCTCTCTGCTGTGGCCAGGGAGTGCAGTGGAGGATGGCCCAGGTGCTTGGGCCCTGCACCCCATGGGAGACCAGGATAAGCACCTGGCTCCTGGCTCCTGCCATCGGATCAGCGCGGTGCGCTGGCCACAGCGCGCCGGCCGCGGCGGCCATTGGAGGGTGAACCAACGGCAAAGGAAGACCTTTCTCTCTGTCTCTCTCTCTCACTGTCCACTCTGCCTGTCAAAAAATTAAAAAAAAAATAAATAAATAAATCTTTAAAAAAAAAAAAGAAAATGCTGGAATTTAGAATACCTCACACATACCTGAAACAAAACTATTAAAAATGGTATATTTTTCATCTAAAACATTAAAGGTATTCATACCTGAGTCAATATTTGATCTATGAAAAATCATAATGCTATCACAAGAACATAAATCTAAAAATCACAAAACTAAACACTATTGTTCCATATTGTACATTTCTTTGAAGAGGAAAATAATTTCTGGAACCTTATTTTATTCATTCTCATTTGTATCCTTTGGGAAAACGAGCCCAAAATTCTGTTTCTGGATGAAAACTTCAGCATTAGACGAGATTTGTTTCCTGTCTTCCACTCTCATGCTCAATTTTAGAGCCATTTTCCACTAGTAAGGATCACAGCTCAATTACTGCAATTTGTAGTTTCCTGGTACTATAGCAGCCCTAAAATTAGCCTAATTTCAGAGACTAAAAGAAATTCTAAAGAAAAACACACAAGAGACGTTTCCATAGCTAAGATATTTGACAATGTATATTATGAGCAAGCCATGGCAAAGATAATCAAGCTCAGGAAGTGTATGTAAAGATATCACTAAATATTCAAAAGAAGCTAAGTAAAAACTGAAGACACATAAACAAGGTTCATTTGGACTATTTTCAGCAATCTGAAAAAGAACTATAATCAGATACCATAACATAATGAAACCTATATCAATGCCCATTTTACAGAATGAAGTCACACCTTCATGGTCAACCAGATATTTTTCTCTGGCTACATCTACTTGAATGCAAGCACTCAGGCTACTTGAAGACCAAAAGAGAGCAAGGCAAGAAACTTCAAACACAGAATATCACTTGCTTAAGAAATAGACCAGGGGCTGGCCCTGTGGCGCAGCAGGTTAAAGCCCTGGCCTGAAGCATCAGCATCCCATATGGGCGCCAGTTCTAGTCCTGGCTGCTCCTCTTCCCAACTAGCTCTCTACTATGACCTAAGAAAGCAATAGAAGATGGCCCAGGTACTTGGGCCCCTGCACCCACGTGGGAGACTTGGAAGAAGCTCCTGGCTTCAGATCAGCACAGCTCCAGCCATGTGGCCATCAGGGGAGTGAACCAGCAGATGGAAGACGTCTCTATCTCTACCTCATCTCTATCTCTACCTCTCTCTGTAACTCTTTCAAATAAATAAATAAATAAATAAATAAATAAATAAATAGAAAGAAAGAGAGAGAGAGAGAGAGAGAGACCGACCAGATGAGTCCAACATGAACAGATCAGTCCAACTGATGTTTACAGCTGGTAGGAATAAAAGGGAAACTTATACTCAACTCTACTACTTAAATGTACCTGAATACGGAGAGAAGAAAATCACAAAAGCTAAACTTATGACCATCCCTGGGAAGCACAAAAATTAAACAAAGGAGATTACCTTCCCTTAGTAGAAAAAGGCTACAAAAGCTTAGAATGCAACAAGGGAAATTCATACTGAGATCAAGAAGTCCCAGATCTCACCTCAATAATATTTATTATAAAAGCTGTTCTAAACTGGAAAGATAATTTTATTCATACAAGTTTTACTTAAAAAATTTATTAATTTGAAAGGCAGAGCTGGGGGGGGGATACATACATATACATATACATACACATACACATACACACACACACACACACACTCTGATCTTCCATCTGCTGGTTCACTTCCAAAATAGCCATGAGGGTCAGGACTGAGCCAGGCCAAAGCCAGGAACCTAAAACTCCCTCCTGGTCTCTGATGTGGGTGGCAGGGACTCAAGTACTTGGGCCATCTTCTGCTGCCTTCCCAGGCACATCAGCAGGGAGCTGGATCAGAAGTACAGCAGCTGGGACTACAACCAGCACTTATGAGATACCGGTATTGCAAGCAGCAACTTAACCCACTGTGCCACAACACCTGCCCCACATACAGGTTTTAAAACCAGCCTATCTGGGGCCGGCACTGTGGCACAGCGGGTAAAGCTGCTGCCTGCAGTGCTGGCATCCCATACGGGCACCAGTGAATGGAAGCTATCTCTTTATCTCCACCTCTGGATCAATCTCTCTCTTTCTCTCTCTCTCTCTCTCTCGCCCTTCCCCCATAACTCTGCCTTCAAATAAACAAAAAAGGCTTTTTGAGGATACTGGGGCTGGCGCTGTGGCGTAGCGGGTAACACTGCTGCTTGTAGTGCCAGCATCCCATCTGGGCACCGCTTCAAGTCCTGGCTGCTCCATTTCCGATCCAGCTCTCTGCTATGGCCTGGGAAAGCAGTACAATATGGCCCAAGTCCTTGGGCCCCTGCACCCACATGAAAGACCCAGAGGAAGCTCCTGGTTCCTGGCTTCAGATCAGCACAGCTCCGGCCACTGCAACCAATTGCGGAGTGAACCAGCGATGGGAAGACAGACCTCTCTCTCTCTCTCTCCCCCCCTCCCCCCCTCCCCCCTCTCTCCCCCTCTCTCCCCCCCTCCCTCCCTCCCTCTCTCCCTCTCTCTTTTTCTCTCTGCCTCTCCTTCTTTCTCTTTGTAACTCTGACTTTCAAAGTAAATAAATAATTTAAAAAAAAAAAAACAGCCTATCGGTAACAGAATAACATATCACTCGCAATACCTCAAAGTTTCACAACAAATACCCTTAAAATCTGACAGCTCATTTTCCAATTCAAATGCCAAACCACTATGAGAAGTATCTGGTCTAAATCTCACTTAAACTAAGATATAGAATAACTATAAGGTTAAAAAAAAGTCTCATTAGGGGGCAAGCATTTGGCCTAGCAGTTAAAACACACACATCCTATATCAGAGTGCCAACACAGACTCTGGGAAGCAGCGGTAATGGCTCAACTAGGTTCCCACCACCCACATGACAGACCTGGATTGAGTTGTTGGCTCCCAGCTTCAATCCAGTCATTGCAGGCATTTGAGGAGTATGCCAGCAGATGGAAACAAGCTTGCTCTCCCTGCCTCTCAATTTTTTTTATAAATCTACCTAATATTTTCTCTAAAACAAACAACAAACAGATGAAAAACAGCAAGTCAACAGTATAACTACATAACCAACATTTAAAATAATTTAATCCTCTGGGGGCTGGCGCTGTGGCACAGCAAGTTAAAGCCCTGGCCTGAAGCATCAGCATCCCATATGGAAGCCTGTTCTAGTCCCAGGTGCTCCTCTTCCCATCCAGCTTTCTGCTGTGGCCTGGGATAGCAGTGGAGGATGGCCCAAGTCCTTGGGCCCCTGCACCCACATGGGAGACCCGGAGGAAGCTCCTGGCTCCTGGCTTCAGATCAGCACAGCTCTGGCCGTTGTGGCCACCTGGGGAGTGAACCAGTGGATGAAGACCTCTCTCTCTGTCTCTACCTCTCTCTGTAACTCTGTCTTTCAAATAAATAAATCTTTAAAAAAAAATAATTTAATCCTCAAAAATTCAAAATCTCATTAATTTCTAAGCATAAATATAAACAAAAGGGGCCGGAACTGGGGTATAGCAAGTAAAGACACAGCCTGCAGTGACAGAATCCCATATGGATGCCAGTTCAAGTCCCAGCTGCTCCACTTCTGATCCAGCTCTCTGCAATAGCCTGGGAAAGCAGTGGAACATGGCCCAAGTCCTTGGGCAACTGCACCCACATGGGAGACTTAGAAGAAACTCCTGGTTCCTGGCTTTGGATTGGCCCAGCTCTTACTGTTGCGGCCATTTGGGGAGTGAACCAGCGGATAGAAGACCTCTCTCTCTCTCTCTGTCTCTCTCTCTTACTCTGCCTCTCTGTAATTCTTTCAAATAAATAAATAAATCTTTATATATAAATAAAAATGGCACATTATACTACATTGGAAGAAAACTAATTTCAGATTTTTAAAAAATTTAAATGGCAGAGACAAAAAAAAAGAACTTCCATCTGTTGGTTCACTCCCCCAAATGCCTGCAACAGCTCAAGCTGAACCAGGCTGACACCAGACCTAGAACTCAATCCAGGTCTCCCATGTGTTTGGCAGGGAGGGACCCAAGTAGTTGTGCCATCACCTGATGCCTCCTATGGTACACATTAACAGGAAGCTGGAATCAGAAATAAAGCTGGGACCTAAACCAAGGCATTCTAATATGGGATGCAGGCATCCCAAATGGCATCTTAATCACTCAGCTAAACACTCAATCCTCAATTTATTTTTAGATTATCACTTTAAATTAAGGATACTTCAATTTTCTTACAGTGCAGGCACCTTTTTTCATCCTCCCAACTTTCCCATTATTTTCTACTTTACTCATAACCAGATAAAAGGAATTAAAATATCTTTACTACCTAAAGATAGTCACTTTACTACCTTAAGATACCCACTTTAGAATGAAATATAAGTATATACTTCAAGGATGTCTATGTCAAAGGCAAGAGATGTACCAACTAATTTTAAATATACAAATATATACTTACACTAATGTCATTAAGAACATTAGATGCCTGTTCATGCTTTAGATTTCCTTTAATGACATGGTATGACAACTCATAGAGAGCTTGCTGGAAATCTGTTGAACATAAAAGAAGTAGTGTAAGAACACAGTCTCTTGACATGAAACGCAGACTTGGAGGGAATCTATTTCCAATTTCTCAGATATAAGTGTCAATAACAAAAAGAAAAATATAATTCTAATGCTTTTCTCTGGCAGTTTTCCTTTTATTTTCACAAAAACATAACACTAACAGGTTAGACAAAAGTTAACCATTCCTCTAATATTGTAATGTTACTACTGGTTAAGCATTCCTTTTCAGTATTTTCCCATAGACTATAGATTTTACATATCTGCAATCACTGTGTATATCATTTGGTATTCTGATTCTTCACCACTTTCAAATACATTTTTCATGCTACTAATGTAGCCATAATTATTTTCAATAACTGCTTTGAACTCTACCAAGTTTATATAAACTAATCATTTTCTTCACCAGGTGAGTTCACAGATTTTCCTAAACATATTCAAAATACACTCAATTAGATCTTAGGGCTACAATGACAACAGAAATAGCAGAAAACAGAATACTGAGTTTTATCCATATCTTACAGTCAGAGACATTTCTCTCAAAATCAGATTTCAATTGCCACTAGAATTTAAACAAAAAATAAATGTATACATATATACTTTACATTTCAAAAATGGCAGTTCTATGAGAAATGTTAGCCACAAATAGCTCTATTCACTATTAATTATCACAGCTTCATTTCTTGGAAAAAAATTTACCTATGGAGACGGTTGTTACTGGTCAAATGAACTCCTTCTTGTCATCTTTTTATTTAGTCTCATATATTAAAACTTTACCTCTTTCTAACCATTAAAAATAGGAAAACAAGCAGCTCTAAAAATGTTAATATAAAATAAAGTCTTTTTTAATAGCCTTTGGAGGGGCCAGAACCATGGCGTACTAGGTTAATTCTCAGCCTGCGGAGCCAGCATTCCATGTGGGCACCAGTTCTAGTCCTGGTTGCTCCTCTTCCAGTCCAGCTCTCTGCTATGGCCAGGGACAGCGGTGGAGGATGGGCCAGGTGCTTGGGCCCCTGCACCCGCATGGGAGACCAAGAGGAGACACCTGGCTCCTGGCTTCGGATCAGTGCAGCTCTGGCCATTGCAGCCATCTGGGGAGTGAACCATCAGATGGAAGACTTCTCTCTCTGCCTCTCCTACTCTCTGTGTAACTCTGACTTTCAAATAAATAAATAAATCTTTTTAAAAAAGTATTCTGTTCTGATCTATTCACAAAGGCATAATTTAACTATAATAAGTCCTAACAAATTTGGCTCAAAATAGAATAATGATTATAAAAATATATTCCCCATATTGAAAAAAACATTGAGTTTCATCCCTAACTAAAGCTACGTATAAAAATGCTCTAAAATTACTAGACACAATCTCTTTTATTTTTGCCACTCCTTTGCCAAACCTGTATACTTAGGTTTAAACTAATGAATATTAAGTAGTAAAGTCCTTTAACACTAAAATTTACATCCTGCCTCATTATGTAATATCTTAATTAATCCTATTTGGGATATGCAGTAAACAACTCACTTGCTTTTCATGTTTTCCATGGCAACTGCCCTTAACAAGATCCCCAGATACCACCTGAACATAACCAGCTCTAGTAAAAACACTAAGCTTCAGTTTCTGGAAATTTTCTAGTGCAAGTAAAATCAAAGCCATTTTTCTTTCCATGCCAGCTTTTCTCCCACATTTATGACTGATACAGCTAACAACTGCTGAAATCCAGCTAAATATACCAAGTCTCAATTACAAAAGTCAAGCAATATCATATGACTGTACTGCAGGTCAAATAACAAGAGCATACAAGATGTACAGTCTTACTGTAGTTTTAATCCTGACTGTAATGGATTCATATAAAAGCTTGATATAAGGTGAACTCTTACACTTTTTGTTTTTTATACATAGCAATGAATGGAAAGCAAGAGTTAATAATTGTAATCGAACCAAAAATAATGGTTTATTTTACTTTTTGATATCTTACCTCTGTAAGTCGAACTATCATCGCTTTTATTTTCACTAAGGAGCCGGCACAAATGCAAGCTAGAAAAAAAGAGAAATAATCCATATCAATTTCCAAGATTAATACTTGGGATTCTGAAAGCAAATTATATCAACTAAAAACACACAGAAATATATAAAATATGCTTTAATGCATTAGTTTATAATGACAAAACAAACCTAAAAACTCTAATTGGTTAGAACTGGAGGATGCTGGGCTGGTGTTGTGGCAGAGCACATTAAGTCACTGCTTGCAATGCCAATATCTTACATAAGTGCCAGTTTCTGTTCCAGCTGCTCCACTTCCAATCTAGCTCCCCACTAAAGAGCCTGGGAAGATAGCAGAAGATGGCCCAACTACTTGGGCCCCTGCCACCAATGTGGGAGACCTGGATGGAGCACCAGGCCCCAGTTTAGGCCATTTGGGGAGTGAACCAGTGGCTGGAAGCTATCTCTGTATCTCTACCTCTGGATCTGTCACTCTCTCTCTCCCTCACCCTTCCCCTGTAACTCTGGTTTCAAATAAACAAAAAAGCCTTTTTGAAAAACGAGGATGCTGTGGCCTAGCAGGTAACGCTGCCGCCTGCAGTGCCAGCATCCCATCTGGGCACCAGTTTGAGTCCCCGCTGCTCCACTTCCGATCCAGCTCTCTGCTATGGCCTGGAAAAGCAGTACAATATGGCCCAAGTCCTTGGGCCCCTGAATCCGCGTGAGAAATCCAGGAGAAATTCCTGGCTCCTGGCTTCAGATTGGCCCAGCTCTGGCCATTACACGCTTCTGGGGAGTGAACCAGCCGATGGAAGACCTCCTTCTCTCTCTTTGCCTCGCTGTAACTCTGACTTTCAAATAAATAAATCTTAAAAAGAAAATGTAATAAATACACACAACAGAAGACTATCCATGCATACAAGGGAAGAACTCCATCATTTGCAACAATCTGGATGGAACTGGAAGCCATTATGTTAAGTGAAATAAGTCAGGCACAGAAAGACAAGTACTGCCTGACCCCACCCATATGTGAAATCTAAAAAAGTTGATCTCACAGAAACAGCAGGGGGGGAGTGCTAGAGAAAGGGAATGGGAAAAGTTTGATTAATGGGTACTATGTTATAGCTAGGAGACAAAGAAGTTCTGGTTTTCTGCACAGTAGGGTGATAATACATATTTATGTTGTGTATTTCTCTTTAAATATTAGAAGAATTTTGAATGTTTTCACCATAATGAAATGTTAAAACGTTTGAGGAGATGTGGTTACTCTGATTTGAATATTACACAACATGTACATGTGTTGAAACATCACAATGTCTCAAAAATATACACATTTTCACATATCAGTTCAAAACAAAAACATTTTCAAACAAAATAAAATAATGTTTAAGGACACTCTTTAAGCAGGACAACAATGATTGCGCAGAGAATCTTAGAGTTGCAGGAAAAAAAACTCACAGATAATTCTGAATGTTAACTCAACAATACTTGTAATAATGATGTCTTATGTTATTTAAATATAGCACTAAATATACATATATAGCTATAGACAAATACTGATACACATCAAAACTAAATGGGTTTATCTGGAACATCCAAGATTCCGCCAAAGTAATTTATTACATTTTTTTTAAATCACATGATAGTTCAGTAGATCCATTAAAAGGCTTCTACAAAATGTAAGATTCATTACTTTTTCAATTTAAAAGAATCCTAGATAAATACTCATGGAAGAGAATTTTGCATATTATCTATTTTATTTTTATTTATTTAAAAGGCAGAGTGAGTGATAGTGAGAAAGAGCAACAGAAACAGAGATAGCCCTCCTATTTGCTGGTTCACTCCCCAAATGTTCACAAGCTAAGACCATGTCAAAGCCAGGAGTACAGAACCAGGTGAGTTTCCCACATGGCTGGCAGGACCCAAGTGCTTGGGTCATCACCTGGTGCATCCCAGGGTACACATTAAGAGGAGGCTAGATAGGAAATGAAGCAGAGACTCGAACCCAGGCTCTGATATGGGATGCAGGCATCCCAAGTGGTGTCTTAACTGCTGTGCCAAAAGACTGCCCCTTTTTTATTATTTTTTTTAATGTTTAGAAGAGAACTTTTTTAACTCAATAAAGCAGCAGTTGTTAGCATCTGCTTCACAAACCCCTGATCCTGAGGACTCACTCTTGAGATCTACAAGGTCAAAACTACTTTCATAATACCAAAACATCCTTTTCCTTTTGCTCTAGACATTCTAAATAATAGTCTGAAAACAATGGAGAGTAAGACTGCTGATCAGCCTTAGCACTATCAAGGCAGTGGCACCAAACTGTCCCAATAACTTCTTCAAGATCAAAAACTCAAAGCAAAGAAAAAAAACCAGTCTCACTTAAGATGTCACTAAACTATTTCATTACATTCTTCATGATCATACACAAATAAAAGCCAGCTTACTTGTGAATGTTTTTGATGGGAGTGTCATCAGTAAGATGACAGAATAGGAAACCCAAAACTTTTCTTCCTGGCACTAAGTCAATGAATAACACACAAACCAATTCTCTTTATCATAAATCAGTTAAGAGACCCAAGTCAAATATCAAACCACATGGAAGTCAATAGAAAAACTCATAACACACTCTATCCATATCCTCTCCCCATAACACATGAAGCCAGGAGCCAGGAGCTTCATGCAGGTCTCCCATGTCGGGTAGCAAGCTGCTTTCCCCAGCTCATTAGCAGGGAGTTGAATTAGAAGTGGCGTAGGGGTGCTGGCACTGTGGTGCAGCAGGATAGAGCCCTGGCCTGAAGCGCCAGCATCCCATATGGGTGCCGGTTCTAGTCCCGGCTGGCCCTCTTCTGATCCGGCTCTCTGCTATGGCCTGGGAAAGCAGTAAAAGATGGCCCAAGTCCTTGGGCCCCTGCACCCACGTGGGAGACCTCGAAGATGATCCTGGCTCCTGGCTTGGGATCAGCACAGCTCTGGCAGTTGCAGCCACTTAGGGAGTGAACCAGCGGATGGAAGATATCTCTCTCTCTCTCTCTCTCTCTGCCTCTGCCTCTGCCTCTGCCTCTGCCTCTCTATAACTCTGCCTTTCAAATCTTTTAAAAAAAGAAAACAGTATGGCCGGTGCCGCGGCTCAATAGGCTAATCCTCCACCTAGCAGCACTGGCACACTGGTTCTAGTCCCAGTCGGGGCACCGGATTCTTTCCCGGTTGCCCCCTTCCAGGCCAGCTCTCTGCTGTGGCCCGGAAAGGCAGTGGAGGATGGCCCAAGTGCTTGGGCCCTGCACCAGCATGGGAGACCAGGAGAAGCACCTGGCTCCTGCCTTCGGATCAGCGCGGTGCGCCGGCCACAGCGCGCCAGCCGTGGCGGCCATGGGAGGGTGAACCAATGGCAAAAGGAAGACCTTTCTCTCTGTCTCTCTCTCACTATCCACTCTGGCTGTCCAAAAAAAAAAAAAAAAAAAAACCAAAAAACAGTATGTCAAAAGAGATCCATATTCACTACAACATTATTCACAGTAGTTATAGTTGGAATGAACCTAAATTTCCATCAATAGATGGATAGAGAAAATATGGAGTATATACAAAAAGAAAATTACCCAGCCTTTAAAAGAAGGAAATTCTGTCATTTGCAAAAACATGGATAAACCTTAAGGATCTTAGAATAACTGAACTAAGCTAGGCACAGAAGAACAAATACCACATGATTTCACTTATACGCAGAATCCAAAACACTCAAACTCACAGAAGCAGAGAACACAAATAAAAGTGATTACCAAAGGCTGGGGTTAGAGATAATGGGAGGTGATGGCCAAAAGATACAAAGTTTCAGTTAGAGAAGATGTAAGTTTTTTGAGACCTTTGGACAGCATGGTGACTAGTTAATAACAATGTATTACATTATTTCAAAAATTGTTGAGAGCAAATTTTAAATGGTCTCACCACAAAAAAGGTACTTGAGGTGAAGGATGTATTCTTTAGCTGGAATTTATCAGTCCACATCGTATACACAAGGTTTTCAAAAGGTTTTCAAAAAGTTCATGGTCAGTGTATATTATAAACTATGCAGATTTCAAAATTTCCTGTACCAAAAAAGCTTCTCTCCCAATTCCATTTTTCCATGACTTTCTAAACTACCCTCATATGTCATAACATCACTTTGTACCCCATAAACATATATAAAAGATACTACCATAAACAATTATATGCCAACAAACTGAAAACTGAGGACAAATGGATAATTCTTAGAACCATACAACCTATCAAGAATGAATCTTCCTTAAAAAAAATGAATCTTAAAGAGAAAATCTGAAGAGACTATAATTATAAAGGTTTTAATCAATAATTTTTAAAAAAGTAAAGTTCAGGAGCAGATGGCTGCAAGGTCAGTTCTATCAAACATTAAAAGATGAATTAATCTTTCTCTAATTTGTCCAAAATATCAGAGGGACCACTTCCAAACTTATCTTGTGAAGCCAGAATTACCAAAGACAAAAAAAAAAAAACCCGACATTATAATTACAGACCATCTTCCCTGGTGAATATGCACATAAAAATCCTCAAGAAAATATGAGAAAATTAAATTCAATAGCTCACAAAAAGGAATCATACACCATGACAAGAGAGATTTCTCCCTGGGATGAAGGAAGGCCCAACATACTAAAATCCACCAACATGATACACATTAACAGAACAAAGGACAAAAATTATACAATCGTCTCAATAGATGCAAAAATGCTGACAAAATTCAACCATCCTTCATGATAAAAAACACTTAACAAACTAGAATAGAAGGAAATTACGTCAACATAACAAAAGTCTAGTAAGAAAAAAAGTCTAATATGAAAAGCTCACCAATAACATACAGAATAGTGATAAACAAAAATTTTTCCTCTAAGATCAGGAACGTAGTATAAATGCCCACTCACACTACTTCTATTCGTCATATTATGGGAAGTTCTAGACACAACAATTAAGCAAGAAAAAATGGCATCCAAATCAGAAAGTGAAAAGTAAAATTATCTCCATTCACAGATGACAAGATCTCCTATGCAGAAAAG